CCGTTGAGTTCATGGTTAGGTTTGCGACTTATCTGAGGAATTGTACAAATGCAGTTAAGAAACTTTGAATTACTGCTCTGTATATTGCGTATCCTGTTTGATTCAGAACTTTTATTGGCAATTGTAAGTCCCCTGCGAAGCCTCAGCACAGCTGCTTAAAGTGAGTTTGTATAATGGTGTCAGTTATCAACTGACCTTAAGCCAACCAGAGTATTAAGAAATCGATTGAAAAGATAGGGCCTTTTTTCATTAACGAAAAAGTTGTTTATTAATTGAGACAAATTTTCCGTCATCATCAACGCCAAACAAATGATGCGGATGGTTTGTCGCGCTTTTTTAAAAATTTTGTCTGAGACGGGAAAGTCTTCAAAGGCGCCGCGGACAAAATAAAAAAAATCATTGCATTATATATGATCTATATATTTTGTTCTCTCACCCACAATGCTCTGTAAGCACTATTAACTTAGGAAGTACTGTTGACTGCTAACCACTTTAAACAAGCTATTTTAACACTACAGAACATTTACAACGCTATTGCAAAAAGAACGAAAACACGGCTGGGCTTTTAGCGCCAGTTTTCTTGACAATGATAACCCCAAATCTATAAAAGTACTTGACAGGCGCGTAGCCAGCCAATAGACTTGTAGGCCCGGGCCTACAAATGTTTGGTTTGATCACTCTAACGCTTGTAATAAATTATGCGTTGTTGGGGTGAGCTAAAAAGCTTAAGAGCTCAAAGTGTTGGTGAGGTCAGACTAGTCATGCATGCAGTTTTCAGGATATGTGGAAATGAAAGTCAGCCACGAAAAGCTGGCTACGCCCCCGCTTGAGGAACGAACAAGAACGTTTTTGACGCCGCTTAACAACTGCGGTCAAACAAAAGCATGTCTCGGGACACTTCATCGCGTGTGCCTCATAAAACAATCTAGCCTCCTACCTAGACAAAAAAAAAAAAAAAACGTCTGAGAGTTCTTCAAATCCTTTTTACGTTAGTTTCCTGTCATATGAGCTTTCAGTACCCTATTATCTGTGCTGTACAGATTTCACAGACTCAGGTACCTTCTACTCTCTTATTACATATGGAGTATACATGGCTGACTCCGCAAGCGGGCAAGATGAGCCTATCTTGTCCGCTCGGGAGTACCTGCTTTGTCCTGCAAGAAAAGACTTTGTTTTAATAACATCATAAATCATTTATTGACCAAGCTTGTTTGCTCAAGACGGCTGGGTACTAGCCTCGTTTTTTTTTACGTTTTTATGGGCCTCAAGGAAAAAAACTTGGCCAATATCCAGCCATATTGCCCTTACCCATGCTTAGTAACCCTTGTTGTCTACATTTCCACATTCGCGCTGTTTTAGACCTTCTCCCGAAACATGAGTTCATTACGGTCGATTGTAACATGTTTAATCGCATTATAATTCTTGATTACGAACGAAGATTAATGGTTTCTATGACTAAAAATAGATTTCTCTAAGTTATGAACTTTTCTTGTGATTAAATATTTTAAAAATATCTGATAGTATCCCATACGCCTTCAACCATTTAAGCCATTGATAAAATAGACTGTTCAAAGTCCCTAAATTTCCGCAAGATGGTTGAGGTCGAGCGCTCATCTTCACTGACAACCATTTTGTAATAGGTTGCAAATGTTCCGAGGGGGCGAACGTCGGGCTTTATAGCGGTGGGGGTAGAAAGACCTCCTCAGGGTCTCCTCCCAAACCGTCCCCCACCCCCTATGTAGATAACGTCTACAGCCCTCGTTCTCGGCTATCTTTCGGAACAGTCTATCTATGAAGACATGCCGCGCTATGCTCAATTATTTTCTGAGGCGGTGATTATCTAAGGGTCTGGTTGATCGCCCCCCCTCCCCTCATCTCAAGGTCTGGATCAGATCTGAATTACCACCAAAACTCTTACAATACGTCGCCTATGCTGTCACTCTTTGCAGTCATGGCAGGGCAAACGCAGGGGGGCATAAACTGGAACACATTTTACTTCTTAAAGTACATTAACAGTCATGATAGTTTTTTATTGGCGAATGTTCCACGAACCTCAATGAAAAGCACATTTTTGCGACTTACGCCCGTACAAAAGAACATTTTATGAGTCTTTTTATACCTTGCCGATAATTACTACTAAACATAAAGCAGATAATCGGGTTGATTGCACAGTAAGCGTGAATCAAAAAGTAGGTTACATAAAAATATATCGAGAAACTACACGAGAAATGGGCAGAACTGTCCTGATACGCTATGATTAAATGGTTCGTACTGAAAGGCAACCAGCAAAGCAAAAACACTGTTACGATAGCAATGGACATATGAAAAACGCTTCTGTTTCTTCTTTTCCGATGTTGCTGATTGTTGGTCGACTGTTCACCTGGGTGTGCCTGTGTCTTGAGCTTGATAAAGATGATGGAGTAAAGAATGACTAACAACAGCAAAGCAGGAAACTGGCATAGGACAATGACTCTCCAAATACTTTCTTCCATCTCTCAACACACCAGGTTCCCTCTGGGTATTCAACGAGCTCTAAAGTGAAGACATCTGAAAAATTAAAAACTATGGCAAAGATCCACGTGACGAGAATGAAGAAGGGACACAGCTTGGATCTGATGAGTGGGGAACGGAGTGAAAATACCACGACTCCAAATCGACCCACTGCTATCATAATCAGATTCTGAATCGAAACGACAATGAAAACGTTACCAAAGAAATGGACAAGCTTACACAAGACCTGACCAAGCTTACCACCGATAAGAAACGAGTAACTGGTGTGTAAGCCGGACAGGCTCAGAGGTATCCAGAATAGTGGATACAACAAATCAGATGAGGCCATGTTTGCGATAAAATAATTTATCGGTTTTTTAAGTTCGGCGTTTTGCAAACGAGGATAACAATGAGAGAGTTTGCGACCAGTGAAATGATGATGATCAGACAAAAGGCAACGGTTCCTCCGATTTTTTGCGCAGTGAGATCAGTAAGGCAGCTCCAAGACCCGCTGGATCCGTTCGCCGTTGAGTTCATGGTTAGGTTTGCGACTTATCTGAGGAATTGTACAAATGCAGTTAAGAAACTTTGAATTACTGCTCTGTATATTGCGTATCCTGTTTGATTCAGAACTTTTATTGGCAATTGTAAGTCCCCTGCGAAGCCTCAGCACAGCTGCTTAAAGTGAGTTTGTATAATGGTGTCAGTTATCAAC